TTCAATCTGACCAGATTATCATTTTGAAGACAATGTGGCATCGATATCTATCATCCCAGTCAATGTCACGGCTGATCTGGTTGATCAGCCTGATCTCACCACTCTCTGGAAACTGAGAAGACAACCCTCTCTGGGGGAGGAAATGCTGGTCTTTGATTAAGGCTGTACAAGTACTGTGCCTCCAATGTTATAAGTCTCAATTAACTTGTAAATGTGAGGCATTGCAATCTCAGTTACCATCTGCCTTCCAGCATAGCTGGACACTGAGGTTGACCGTGTGCTATTCAAAAACTCTTTTCTTGACCATATAATTTACCTAGTTTGTGCATATGCAGGTAATCTATCAAGCCAGTTATTTGGGAGCACATGGGTTGAGAAAAAAAAATGGAAGGCTGACATTCTGAGATTTTATCAGAGATCTTATGGGGAGATTTCTGATGCCAAGTATTTGGATAGTGGAAATGTTTATATATCTGAACTGTGCTTGGTTTCCTTCAATCTGATACACAAAACTAAACAGCATGTAGTGATGGTGCCAGAGTAAAAGATGGATTAAAGTTTAGACCAGGACCTAGACTGGTTCTCAGCTGAGTTTGCTAGCAGTGAAGGAGCCCACGCCCTCCATGCATACAGCCCTTGGCTAATCAGTCAAGCTTCAACCTTCCCTCAGGCTAGGAGCAGAAGATGACTTGCTCTTACCAACATAGTACTAATACATAAAACAAATGAAACAAGTATTACTTATCTCCACTGGGAAATTCATTTATCTATTCCACAAATAAATATTAAGCATTAACGAGGTGAATTTAGCATTAAGAGCTAAGGATACATCAGTGAACAGAGCACCACAGAACAAAACCCCTGGCTGCTATCGTAGCACTTGCTTTCTAGTGAGAGTCTAAAACCCAACTTCCTAGAATTTTAGGAAGAATCTTCTAATTCTTCTGATGGAGAATCTTCTAATTAGAATCTTCGAGCCTTTTAACTAATTTCTGAGCAGGAGAAGGGGTGCTGATGGTGAAGTTTCTGAGCTGGGCTAGGGGGACGGACGAGTATCTATTATTATGACCTTTATTGTAAGAGGAGAAAAAGCCAGGATGCTGACTTTCTCCTGGGTGGGGGAAGAGAGAAGAGGGCTGGGCAGCAGCAAGCAGCTTAGCAATCCAGTCATTCAGCAACATTTACGGGACACCTACTATAAGATATTCTCATCTACTAGTTGAACAATTCCTTTCTAAGACAATCCACCTCCTGCATCTGATATTATTGATGGTCTGTAAAAGTTACTCCACATCTAGGCATGTCCCTCGGGAGAACAGTTGGCTAATGGGTCTACAGAAATAGCTGCAACTTTTACTTATACCACAGGAGGAGGCATTGTCTATAAATGGGAAATTTACTCATTAACATGATCAATGATCATTATGGCGGTGGGTCTTATAGAGCTACGTCTATGGCGCCAAGACTCTTAAGGTCAAGGTAATATAAGCTATGGTCTGAGAGGCTAAGGCCATGCCGCTCTTACCATGACTGAGATGTGCAGGATCCTCAGCTCCTCTTCTGCTGACTCATGCTGGGGTTCTTCGGTTGGGTCTTGTCCAAGGAGGCTTGGGGCACCATCTTGGTGATGGATATGAAAAAGCAAAGTGCCATTCTCCAGCCACTGCTGCCTCCAGCGCACCAGAGGAATGTCCTCCGTGTTCCCTGAGATCTCTAGAGGACAAACACCAAAGACACAGGTCAGCATTCCAACTGTACCAGTCTGAATCTTCTTACACATCTTCTTNCCTAGAGTGTCCCTTCTAGTCCCTGCGCTCTGGACTCTACAATAGCACCTGGGGACTCTTCTCCGTGAACCTTGTTCTCTCCGTTGTTTCTCCCTAAAGAAAGCTCTGTGCCTTGGGCTCACCGGGGGCTCCCCCAAAACAAGGAGCCTACGAGCCAGCAGGCAAAGGCCACCAGAGCCTGCAGGTACTGCGCAATGGGCTCTACACAGCGGGGGCCACTGGCCCAGAGCGGCACCCACGCTTGGGCAATGGGCTCAATTCACACCCTCAGGGGGACAGACAAATGCTCAAGGAGGTATTTTATGGTTTTTTTTCCCCTCACAATTATGAATTGTGTCTGAGAAGGCTGAACTATGAACGATATTATCTAGCAGTCAGAATTATCACCACAAAACATATATCAAACTGAAGCATTTTTGAAAGGCTATTTGCTGTGAAAAATGCACTTAACCAACCTATGTACATATAGGAAGTCTATTAACACTGCCATCCTTAATTACAAAGATGAAATATATAGATAATACATTAAAATTCTTTATACATCATTAAATTCTTTTATATACTTTAAGAAGAAAATGTAAATCATACGGTAAATTAGCAAAAGTAAAATATGGAAATTTAAATCCACACAGAGTCTGAATATCTGATGTAAAGCCATATTAAAACCTATATTAAAACCTGATCTTCTATGGAAAAAACAATTTGCTTATTACTGAAGAATTCCTTGACTTCTGGTTTTTAAACTCACACATCAATTTTCATTTGATGATTTTGCTTTTACTTGTTCAAAAGTTTGCAAAAGAGTATGGTTGTGTACTTTTGTAGTTTTAAAATGTCAATTATCTTGCAGAATTTGAAATAAATCTCCAGCTAAGTCTGAATCATGCAGGAGGTTAAAATACATAGTTTGACCCTCAAAGCAGTGATATAAGATTTCAGGAGGAAAATCCAATTAGTCTACCCAAGGAAGAATGGAACCGTTTTGGAAAAAAGAATTCAAAAATTTTAGGATGTGATTGAAAAATAAGAAAAGCAAAAGGTTTTTCAAAGTTTTAAACTGCCAAGTTCCCAGCTGAGGTATTGGTTTTACGAAAGCCCATGGATTTTGCTGATGGTGTATTTATACCGGGCATGGTGGGGGAGAGGACTTACTGATTCTTATTCATATAATGTTATAAGGATACAAAAAAAAAAAGGTTTCCCTTTGCTTCTCATTCTCTCATTGCTTATATTTTGTGTTTAAAACAAAAAACATGGTAAATGCAAAATATAAAAATGAACAGTGGTCTCTGCAATGAGGCAAGATGGATGAGAAAAGTGTAAATACTAAACAAGAGAAATGTAAACTTTAAGGTTTTCATAGAACCATTAATTCCCTCTGCTCATATTGGAAATACTTGGGGTTATCGGTTAAGCTTTTAAATATACATTTTCTTCACAAGAGAGA